CTTTCTTTAGGCCTGAAATGTTATATAAACTATTAATTAGACATTTATTATCACGAAAAGACCTTAACCAACTCTCGATGCCATCTTATGTGTTCGATTTTCACGGGATTTGAATCCGACCTGCTGCTCAATGCGCAGTGATGATTAAATGCAAAAATGGATGATCGAGACTATGTTTTGTTTTTTATCGTACCAACTTTAGTAATGATGATCGAGGCTAGGCCTAAATTCAATTGCTAATATATCACCTCAGAGTGGAGCAATTTGACTGAAATTTCCAGCATATTCCCTGTACATTATCTTGGTTTTTACTGCTCTTTATCTAATCGCCCATAATGCCCCTTTAACATCGTAAATAATGTATTGGACGTTAAAATTGTAATAAACAACTATAATGGCTCAGTTTGGCTTTGTTTCACTAACCAAGAAGGAGGTCATCGGGATGTCAAGACATTCCGATGGGACGAAAACCCGAGATCCACAGATAAGAATCCACTGCCTTGGTAAGATTTACCTTATAGCACACTGCATACGGTATAGTCCACCTTCATTAAATCCATTTTCATTAACTCTAAGATAATATTAAATTAGTCCATGGTCCAATTTTACGTGAAATGAAATGGGGCTTAACGTCCTATTATTCTGCACCGACTGGGCTAATGAAGACGGGCTTACTCCACGCAGCGTGCTATGATTTTGATTTTGCCCAGACAGCGGCGCTACGGACTACTCTTATTTACACGGTTTTACGTCTCTTTTGATGAATTATTATTGGTTAGCTAAACAGTCTCTGGGAGGGTTGTTAACAGAAAATATTCTAGAAAGCACAATTTAAAAAAGATTTTTTCAAATACTTGATTGCATCAGAAGGAGAATCCCCCGCCCCTAGAGCGAGAGCCCTCACAGGGCCAAGCCTGGGAGCCTAGCTTGGTGAAGATTGCGCAGGGTTACGTCCCGATGTTGGCCGAGAAAGTTCCTCAAGATTTCCCAGCCTGATTTCACAGAACGAAAAACTGAGGTTCCGTCGATACTATTGACAGCATTTAAAAGAACCGGAAAGCGATATAAGTGATGGTCGTAGTGCCGCTGTCGGGTCAAAATTTTCCCCACAGAGCATAGCATCAGCCGATATGTCTTGGTGTTGAAAAGTAAGACGTTTAATTTCATTTCATATTTCATCAAATAAAAAAAAAATCAGCGTGAGATATAAAATAAATTTGCCCATTAGTGTCAAATACCCGTGTCTCTAATGACAGATCATTACAGTTGACGTTATCAAGATTTAATCACGTGACAAAATGGCGCGTGTTGTAATGTGACAATCATAATGACGTAATGTGATGTAATGATTGGTCAAATCGGGCTAATGAGATGCACGAAAGCTCTGATTTATCGGTAATATCAATGCATGGGGAAGAAGTAGTTTGCTAATAGGAAGTGCCGGAGGATTGTCAGAGGCGGATTCAATGGGGGTCGCGAGAGGTGCGAGCCCCCCTAATTTTCGACAGTGCCCATTTTTACTGCTGAAAGTGCCTTTTCTCAGACTCAAATATGTCCGTTCCCAACCCGTTGTAGGGATCCCAAAAGACTCAAACCATCGACTCAAACACACCAGTCTGGGAAATAGCTCTTGGAATGGCTACAGATGCAAGGAAATGACGGATAATTTTCTTGGGGACCCCCCCCCCCCAGCGGCGTGCCCCGTCTCCGCGGTCAATGCCTTCATTTTGCAGCGCCCCCCCTTTTCAAAATTCCTAGATCCGCCCCTGATTGTTCCACTCAACAAAAATAAATACCAACGTAAACCAGTTACACAAGCGGACACACTAGACAAAAATTAATTAAATGAACCCAACTCCGCATGTTGTTTTCGTAAATTTTACGTTTTACAAAAGCCAAGTGGATAAAAAAAAAAAAAAATTATCGAGATCTTCAATACGTAATTGTTAAGTTAAAAAAAGTGATAGCTTGAGAATTAAAGATACATAATGGGAGATTAGATAAAGAGCTGGCCATTCTCACTACAATAGGTAATGCAAAGGGAACATGCTGAAGATGTCAAATTACTTCACGCGGAGCCGATAAAACCTCATTTTAAAACCCTGTAGCGTCGATTGTCAGTGTTACCGCTGTAACGATAATGAACATAGTCTCGGTTATGCATTTTTGCGGTTAATCATCAATGGCCGTTCAACGGCAGATCAAATTGAAATGCAATGAAAATCGGACACATAAGATGGCACCGAGAGTTGATTATGGTCTTGTCATGCTAATATAAATGTCTTAATTATTGATATAGTTTAATATAACATTTCAGGCCTAAAGAAAGACATGCAATAGGCCGATTTAGCTCTTGCATAATGTATTTTTCTGTGAATAGAATGTTTATGAAGGGGTTTCTATTCGATATGAATTAATAATTTTCCTCATAAATCAACAACTATAGAGAACTTGAATCACAGAGTAGGTGTATCACACAAAGCAAGTTGGGATGTTTGGGTGAACTTTCTCACGTTCTATACAAATAAACCCGCGTATTTAATTCGCTCTGCTCTCGTTTTAACTAACGGCGCTTATTATGACCCTTTCACATCAATAGAAAATCTTTTTTTTTGTGGTGGTTGTAACAAATCACAGTGGTAAGAGCAGCTAACGTATTATGATGTTCGTATAAGTTTTAGGACAGGTGGTCGAGCAGAATAAACACATGTTTAGGGAGGATCTCACCATACAATGATTTTTTTTATTTTCATGCATGCATTAACTGCATTCTTTGACCGATTTAAACGACAGCATTCTTTCTATTCATACTATTACGAAAGAGCATTTTCTGGTAAATCCATAAAGATTTAAAGATCCATTCTGGAAAACCCACAGGAATTCACCCAAAACTTGCGAAATAATATATTAATGCTGATACAACATTATAACGGGATATTAAACTGTCCTTATAGTATGATTTCCGAACAGTCTGTCCGGTACAGCCAACGTTTGCGTATAAAAGGTCAATGTCATTGAGTAACTTCCGGTCTCCTGGGGGAAGGGTAACTATACAGTGGAGTGAAATGGATTGGGGTTTAATTTCTCGTCAACACAATCACAGGAATCTGACCTTCTAATCGTATATATATGCATACACCATACCGAACTAGACAATATATAATTTTAAAAAAAAAACAGGAATGCAATGCCTGTTGAAGCCTTGATTTTACCTGCTCTCGCTTCGGCTCGTTTTTTTTTTTTTTTTTTTTTTTTTCAACAATTCGCAATGTCCAGCAATCAAACCTCTGTCGAATCACTCAGATATGTTTTTTCTTCAATCTAGCCGTTTGATTTGCACAAATACTCCCCACAAAACGATATCATAGCCACTTGTTTCCAATATTTTCGTTCGTTGACGTTTGTTTTTGAATCCATGCGCTGACGTCACACAAAAACCTAACCAAACTCTGAAGTCCCGTATACTTCCGCCTCAAGATCATGAATATTCACCAAAACCTGGCAGAAAATGTATATTTAAACCCTCTTCTTCGATTCTACACCCAAAAGTCAATAAAAGTCGCCATGCAAAAGGGGGGAAAGGAAGAGAAAACCTAAAAATATCTTTGGCCCTTGTTTCAATGGTCTAGTCACTGCGGGTTGATTTTGTGTGATGTCAGTGCATGGATTCAATGACAGGCATTGCATTCCTGTTCTTTTTTTTATTATATATTGTTTAGTTCGGTACCTAGACTTTGTACATCCCGGTGGGGTCTTTTAAGTTTTGCGTAAATAGTCTCAATTGTCAAGTACCATTACTACTATAATAAATAAAGCCCCGGTTATCCAATTTAACGTTCAATTTATATATGGCGTGGATGTTCTAATCCATTCAATATCCCGGCCATCCAATTGTTTGGTGAGTAGATTATGGGCTTGGCATGTGCGTAATAAATAATAATTTATATAGCCGCTGAGGCTAAAAAAAAGACCTGCAAAGGGCTGATTTAGCTCTTACATTATGTCAAGCGAGAGAGAGAGAGAGAGAGAGAGATGGGAGGGGGGGGTAACGTTCGCCCGACACTTTTGAGCAAGAGGTAGTCAAATGCTGCTCCCTCCATCTATGGTAGAAGAAACCTCAGGGAAAAGTTAGAGTCGGCCAAGGAGACGAGAATGAACAATGGAGAATTTAATTAATGATAATGTCATCACTCATCAATGTGTCGAGGGGTATTGTTTAAAGTGGCTGTGTTAATCGTGGTATACAAGAATCTTGACCGAATAAAATCGAGACCAGTACTCAGGCCCAGGGGTGGGGGGGGGGGCAGTTGGTACATTACTCAGGGGCTCATGAATCCCCAGATAGGGAAGGGCATAGAGATGTATGTTGGCTGTTCGGTGTGTATTACAGTTCAGTGCGAGTAAACATAAATGTGTTATAGTGTGCTGTATAGTCCTTGCACAGGTGTGGGAGGGGGCACAATTTAAACTTCTCCGGCACAAAAATTATCTCTGTAAATACATTTATCTTATCTTGCATAGGATGTCTAGTCTGGCCAATTTCACTAATTCAGTTGGATATTCCTAGAACTGGTAGATCGCGTCTAATTTACTTGACAAGCAATAGATTCTGTGAAAAACCGTACAATAAATATCTTCACGTCGAAGATTAATATCCGATCAACAGGTCTTTGTTTATATCTCAAAATAATCTATTGAACAGATGCCCTGGAGACCAAGACTAGTGTGTATGGACGCCGTTATCTTTGTAAATAAACTTTTCATTATGGGCGGGGTTTTCCCACCGAAACTGCACAATCGAATATATACCTCTGGCACGCGCTGCTATTCACGTGCGTCACTTCCAGTCGTTGATTGACAAGTTGGTTGTGGACATTTCGATATACACCGTGTCCGCAACCAATCAGGCACGCGTCTGCAGACGGTGAGCTGTCAGTAAGTAATACTGGCTTCTGATTGGAGGAGTGTGTTGGTATTCTACCGTGGGAAAGAGTAGTAAAATAACTTCACAGGATTCTGACAACAAAGTAGTGTATGACCTTAAACTACGATTGATACCAAGTACATGTCATTTACCATTCGACACAGACGTATAGAAACATATAATAACAATTAGCCCTAATAATTTCAACTCATTTTGTGTCTGACTTTTTTAAACTTTTACCTTGTTAACTCACAAAATGACGGAAAGTGACTGCAACAGCCCGAGTCCCGAAACATGCGAAGATTCTAGATCAGCGTACAGAAAGGTAGGAGTTCTTATAATTTTTATTTTGGTAAAAATAAAATCTGGAGGTGATGAAAGGTTACGTCCTTATTAAATCAAGGGTTAGGTATTTTACAACCCTGAATAAAATTGAATATAATTACTTGATATGGGTGACTGCAGATCACGTTGCGATAAGAAAGACAACAATTGTTCAACTTTCAACTAGTATAATAAACGATAATTTATATTCCCAGATCGTGTATCTATAGCTCACGGATTTATTTGAATATATTCGTATTTATGGCGATGGTTATTTATTATTTGTAAAAAATGAAATGAAATGAAATGGTGTTTAACGTCCTACTGTTCTGCTCCGACTGGGCAAATGAAGATGGGAGGGAATACGCCATACAGTGTGCTATGAGGGAAATTTTGGCCGGACAGCGGCACTACGGACTACTCTTATACCGAATTTCAACTGTCAAGGGATCTTTTACGTGCACACCAATGTGTACACGGGACCTCGGTTTTTAGTCCCATCACTAACAAGGGAAAACCACGCCGGAAAATCTGGATGAACTTTTTCGGCCAATGCCAATGTCAACAACGAAGAAAATGTTAGCTTTGTGAACGTCTGTAATAAGTAGAAATTGATATCAAATTTTCTATCAAGGGTGATAATACACTGTATCGTATACGACACTCGTTACCACCAGTATTGAATTTCAAGAAGTATTTAAATCGGGATTTTTTAAATATCCTTTTTACCCAGTCATGCATTTAATATTTATCTTAGATATCTCTGATTCGGACATTTATAGACAGGAAAGTCGGGAAATGTAACGGGGTTTAATGTCCTAATTATCTGCACCAACCGGGCTAATGAATAAGGGCATATGTCATGCATTGTACAGTACGGGTAAAGGTCATCGAATTCAAACTGCCAAGGGTTATTTTACGTGTAGGGATTTTCGTGCCGTCCGAACGACTAGACGCACCGCTGTCAAGAGAGAAACCTACGCTGAAAAGTCGGAAGAATCTCCAACAAATTATTTGATTCCATATTGTTGTCCACGGACGTCCTCGGTAATATAATTTATAACACCAATAATATAATTTACAGAATGAAAAAAAACTCTTTGAAAACACTTTCGTATTATTTCCCCGAAAAGCTTTTATTTGTATTAATAAATTCATCTTTGATTATATTGTTTTTCCAGAGTAACAAACCGTTGATGGAAAAACGTCGAAGAGCCCGAATAAATACCTGCCTGTCCGAGTTGAAAAGCCTCGTTCTTCAAGCCATGAAGAAAGACGTAAGTGAATTAGTGATTAAATAATTAATGACATGTCCCTAATTAGAGTGTAATATGCATTGCATGTTATAATAATTAGTTCATTTTACGGACATGGAATCATATGATAAACAAGAATAAACATGACACCAATAGTTAATTTGGAATGTTATTTGAAACTTCATTCGTAAGGTTGGATTTGGGCGAAGTGGTTCGGATCTACTCAGTGGAAGCCATGAATCGAGATTCCTTCCATGAAAGTTTTAAACAATGATTAGATATGAATTAAAATAGCAGTATATATCTGTCAGTTTTAATGATAAGGGCACATGGTTGTCCCACCCGAGAGAGAGAGAGAGAGAGAGAGAGAGAGAGATGGGGTTTAAATCCACTCGACACAAACCAGGTAATTTCGAGACTAACATATGCTTTAATTGTATTTCAATAATTCTCTTACGCGTAGGGGTCTGTAGCAGTGGGAGGAAACCCATGAGGTTGGACAGGCGAACCTACTCCTTGTCACGTACATCCTGGGAATCGACACCCACGCCAGTTGACCTCAAAGACAGACCTTATGATACAGCGCAAACGTGCTAACCATTCGCCCCCCCCCCACACACACACACACCCCATGATGAAACCGTAATATATCCGAGGATAAACCGTTTGGCATTTATTGATCAAAATCCCTATTATATCCCATTAGGAAACCATACCCCAGGATAAAACTGTATTATATCCCAGGATAAAACCGTATTATATCCCATGAGGATAAACAGTATTATCCCGGGATGCCACTCCTTCGTTTGTATCATAATATATACATGTACATGTTACTACATATAGATTTAAAATTTTGGACGCGTACTTTTAGAAATGTAAATTTTCTTAAGCGTCCCCCTTTAAAGGAGGCAAGTCTTTAACTCAATATCATCCACAGTCTTCGAAAAAATTGCAAATATTGTAAATTTAAATCAACATTGATGTTGTTGTCTTACCGTAAAAAGATGAGCTTCTGATATCCAATATCCAAGACACGCATCGCTTACCAGAATGCTTTCGAGCGCCATTTGTATTGAGCCACTCGAGGAACGGGACTAAACATGTCCCACAGGAGAATACTAATGGTGTAGACTGTAATAACCTGACGACAAAGTCTGCCATTCAATTTGGACTCTGCGTATGTATTTCGCCGAACATCACTGATTAGAAATTTCAGTAAAGACAAAAACGATCATGTATTACATTATTATATGCGTTGCGATCCATTTGTGTCCATTTGTGTCCATCTCAAAGAAAGGAGATATAGCTGTTTTAATAAGCCTCACGATGCAGATAATAATGTATCTTTAAATAAGGGAGTTTCTCCAATTTCACATAATAATAGAGATTTAGCCCCTTTAACGACATATCTGATTGTATGAAATATACAAAGTGATAATTGGATATCAAATTACTTTGATCATTGACATGTCGGATAATTCACATATCATATGACATACGCCTTGATCGTTGATTAGTTTAACCCCATGATTGGTATAAGTATATCATTAATATACAAGTATAAGTATGACGTAGGCTAATCATTACATACTACCACACCCTAATCTGGGGATTTGACCTACGCCCGTTTTAATTCTCACATGATTTAAAATATTCAGACGAATTAAGTATGGAGTAATTATTGTAGAAACGCCTATTTTCTCATACTGTGTTGTTGCAAAAAACAAGCACTAAATGTTGACAAAATCTCAGCAGTCATTGCAAACTAAGTAAAATGCATGTTTCGTTTCGTTTATTTTTGTGTCGGTGGAGTACAAGATCAGAAATCGACGTCTGGTCCTAATCAGATTGCTGTCCTTGCAAAGTGTTAATCGTTGGTTGGCCGCCGCTGCCATTGCCAATTAAACAAATCAGCCAAACCGACACTTTCATTGACAAGCACTAAGAATTGAGTCAGGTCTGAAACGCAATTTGGTAATCACATGGTGTACCGACAGTTTCAGAAAGATCACTACTGTTTCCAACGTAATCAGATTACTGTCAACATATTCTTGACATGTCACACGTGGGCATATTATCGAAATAGGCTCTCTTTAAAAGGGTAGAAAAGTTGAAATTCTTGTAAAAAAAAACTGTGTAAAATGGTTTGAAATGTTGTAGTTAAATGGTCGTTTCCAGTAATTATTGATGACAGTTAACAATTATCACCTGATAGTCTTAAGCTGTTTCGATTTAACAAAATATGACATCACTACGAATCGGTTGCACGCGACTGTGTTATTGTCCATTAAGGTATCACCCGATCCAATATTGTTATCGCATAGATGGGGATAATAATAACGAAATAAATGGGCCTATAAGGAGGTAAACAGCAAATCATTTTTACCGTTCGGTAAATTTATGACCTCCATTATGGGTACATAAAGGTTAACGCGGGGCTATTGTTATAGAGTCAGTTAACAAGACCCTAACCCTAACCCGAGCGAAACATAGGTCCACCACGCACAGGGAAGCTTTAAATCCAGGGACAGTCGAGATAACTCTACAAAAGGGAAAACCGAGCCTAAAACATACGCATCATACCATATACGCACATTCTGGAAAGTGGGCCTTTAGGTTCATATGATGGAGGCAATAAATTTACCGAGCAGTAAAAACGGGTTGTCGTTTACCCCCGTATAGGCCGATTTATTTCGTTATTATCCTTCTAGACGATAATAACATTGGAACGGGTGCAGATATACGACAGTCTGCAACTCGCAACATTTCACGGTGGAAATTCGTGTTTCCCTCTAAAAGATTAGACACATGTATTCATCTATATGATTTGAAAAGAATAACGAGAGTAATAATAATGTCGTTAAATTATATTTTTTGTTATTTATATTTCAGAACGCTCAGTATTCTAAACTAGAAAAAGCTGATATACTAGAATTAACAGTTAAACATCTTCGAACTATTCAAAGACATCAAATGACAGGTTAGTATTGTTGTGTGGAATAGAGTTTTTTTTTTGGGGGGGGGGGGGCGTGGGCGGTAGAATGAGGGGAATGGAAGCTTCTACTAAATCTCAGAGCAAACTGCACGGTGTATGCCCATCTTAATTATCGCGGTAATTGCCACAGAAAAGTAAGATCTTAAACCCACATTTCATTTATCTGAAGGAGAAAGCAAGGGTTTCGCAGCCCTTCAATTATACTCCCAAAATGTTGTGCATTATGGGTGAAATGGTGGATTTACATTTTGTTACAACTTAGTTGATTTCATTTGCGTTATGTTCTTGCCTCAGTAAACATTTAGATATAGTATAACATATTCTAAACATTAAATTTTATTGCAACATTATGTTGATGTATTATTATCTTGTGAAAAAAGGCGAATGAAAGTTTGAAAAATAAATTTTTAATCAGCATTAAATACTGATCTGTATTTCGTTTCGTGTTTGTTCGGGTTATTTTTGTACTTTCGATGGGTATATGAAGTGGGGAAAGACAAGTAAAACGAAATTTTGAAAGATATAAAAATAAATTTTTAATCAGCCTTAAATACAGATCTATATTTTGTTTCGTGGTTGTTCGTGTTATTTTTGTACTTTTGATGAGTATATTATGAAGTGGGGGAAAACAAGTAAAACGAAATTTTGAACTATATAATAAAATGAAACGAAATTGGATCTGTGTTTTAATTAGATTGATTTTCAATACACGTCTTAATCGTTTCCTAAGTCAAATATAATCATGACATCAATAACATAATAATAATGACCCGGTGTCAGTGTGAGGGCAAACAGGATAAAAATCGATGTTTATTATCGTGGCAATCGGCACAGCGTTCCTTTTGATATACCGTGACATTTGACACGATTTTAGTGTTTATTAAATAATAACGGAAATAATTAATGAACCCTGCTCTTTGATAGCCTAAGATAAATCAAACTAAAGTCTTGGTGTAATAATTTTCGATTGGGAGCGGATATATAACTTAAATTTGAAGTAAGTCTTGGGAGAATTTCGTTAAGAACGGTACGTTTAGAACACGTAACTCCACTCTTTGGTGAAATTAGACGTATAAATAAACACACAGCCACGGTCATTGAACTTTCTGTGCCGATTAAACCTGGCTCAGTGAATAAGGTGCTAGTTCCCAGCGTAGGCCGGGAAATCTCATCCAGATTTTCCAGTAATGGCCCCCCTTTGTCAGTGATGCATTACGAAGGCGTAGCAAGCTAAGGCACTTAGTTATTCGAATGGTACGAAAGTCCAATGTTCAACCGTGTAAAGCACGTAAAGAACCCTTGATGTTGGAATTTGATTAAAAGTAGGCACCTGTTTCCATATAGCACACTAACCCGGTTGTTTCAGAAAAGTAAGACGTTAAACCCCATCGTATAATTCCGGACTAATAACATACTTATAAAATTAATCAGCTTCGCATCCTTGACCTATGGGAATAACCGCCTAAGGGGGCTTGCGTAATACCCAGGGATGAAGGAGCGCAAATTTACCTCTGGGCTAATATTTCTAGGCTAAAAATTACGACTGCAACAAGCAGTCTGATAAATTCTGCTTAATACACTATTGACTCAACAAATCATTTAAGATGGCGAACGATAATTAAGAATTTCTAAATATAAAAGGAGGACGTTCTTCATAGCCACAGTGTTTACGAATAAAGATTACCTCGTAAATACTGTATATACGAATTACGATTACCTCGTAAATACTGTATATACGAATTGCGATTACCTCGTAAATACTGTATATACGAATTGCGATTCCCTCGTAAGTACTTTTTAAGCACCAGTGACCTAACTCTAACTCATTGAAGCTACCAAACACTCTTTTTGTTTGTTTATCATACAGAGTGTCCCGATAAAAGTTGTCCTAACCCAAACACCATAAATACTCCAGTCACGAATAACCTCTTCAAAAATAAAAAACCTATTTGTGTAGTTTGTGATTTGTTGTTTTATAGATGTGTATTTGTTTTACAGCCACCATCAATAACGGCTCCAACGTCATACACAAATATAGAGCTGGATTTAATGAATGTGCTAACGAAGTGATGCGATACCTGACTTCCGTTCCTGGCGTACAAGATGAAGTGAAAGGTCGTGTTTTGGGACATTTGGCTAACTGTATGCAGACCGTTAACTCGGCCCCAGTTTCTAACAGACGTCTTCAAACGCCATCTACAGTATTACATCCGTCCCAGATGCAACATTCGTCATTAATGTCGACTTCCGGTCCCGAAAACCCAACAGCATTTCATCCCATATTGAGGGACCAGAACAGTCAACTAACAGCAAGCGTTTCTTGCTTTACGTCAACTCCGGTTCAACTAGTCCAAACGCCGGGTCCTTCTGCACCCGTTGCTTTTGTCCTTACCTCTCCGTCATCCGTTCAAGCTGTGTCGCTGTATGCCTCGCCTAACAACAGCGTCAAGATGGATGCCGTTGTCAAGGAAGAACGCCCTACTTATCATCCATGTTCCAATATTTATATTGATGATAAACAAAGTGCTTTCAAAGACTTCACACAAGCGTCACATTCTAAATCTCCCACCGTACCCATGCCAATTGAAATAAAGCAGAGCAACGAACCAGTATGGCGCCCCTGGTAACCGGATAGGTACTACCATTTCAACTATTCCAAAGTGCTTTAATTTACACGCTTCCAACCATTGTGTGCCGAGCGTTAGTTGCCTGTGTGTGATAATGACATATTATGTGCTTTATGCACAAATACAAACATCAGTAAATTGTACACTTTGATTCCCATCTCTTTTTTATTTGTTTTGTTATTAAAATATATCACTGTTACCAAAATAGTTCTCTTGTTTATTTTTGTATTTTGCTTAAACGGGATTGGTTGTAAATTGACCAAGACCTGAATTGTGGTAGGTGTCGTACGTGAGGCAGAATATTCTACCTTTTCGGAAAGCACCTATAATTTTAGTTTGATCTATAAAATACAAAATAACTGCAGTCATCTACATATGTCAAATTCTCGAGTTTGAGAAGACGGCGCATACTGAATTGATCAAAACGTCCACGGGCCACGGTGTCTCGTCGTTCGAATGGGACGAAGCGCAAGGTCCCATGTACACATTGGCGTGCACGTAAAGATCCCTTGGCAGTTGGAATTCGATATAAGAGTAGGCCATAGCGCCTGTATGGCGTATGCCCGTCTTCATTAGCTCAGTCGGAGCAGAACAGAAGGACGTTAAACCCCATTTCATTTCATTCCAAAATGTCCTACGACAAATTACTGTGAAGGAACAAATTGTTGCGGGGAATAGTGGTGGACATCTGACCACGACGCTGAAAAACCGAGGTCCCGTGTACACATTGGCGTGCACGTAAAAGATCTCTTGACAGTTGGAATTCGATATAAGAGTAGGCCGTGGTGCCGCTGTCCAGGCAAAATTTCCCTCATTGCACACTGTATGGTGTAAGCCCATCGTCACTAGCCCAGTTCGGAGCAGAACAGTAGGACGTTAAACCCCATTTCATTACATTTACACGCCCCTTCTGGCCTGTTACAGAATTACTGAATAATGGTATACCGGTACTATAATAAACATTGCAGCAATGACACAAAACCATGTCCGGATTAAAGAGAGGGAGGAGGGGGAGGGGGTCTAGCTTGGCAGCAGCAAGGGGCCCCAATATTAAGAGGGTCCCCAAATTAATTATTTTAAAAGAAATGTACCATTATTAAATAAGTCGTTTATCATGTTGTACATGTTTGTGCCAAATAAATCTACGATATTGACAGGCAAATTGCATTTGTATTGGTGTGCCAGACAATGACCAGAATACGCCCCTTTTTCACTGCTGGTGCAGGGGCGCAAGTGACGTGGAAGCTTAATACGGCCCTGCACATAACCAGTCAACCAAACAGACAAATTATTCTAGAATCAAAATTACGTTTATAAATATATAGAAAAAATAACACGCTGTCAATGATTGTACAGTAACTATCCACAACTTACACGAAATGAAATGAAATGGGGTTTAACGTCCTACTGTTCTGCTCCTATACTGGGCTAATGAAGACGGGCATATGCCATACAGTGTGCTATGAGGGAAATTTTGCCCGGGCAGCGGCACTATCGCCTACTCTTATATCGAATTCCAACTGCCAGGGGATCTTTTACGTGCATTCCAATATATACACGGGACCTCGGTTTTTCGTCTCATTCTGCACCACTGACAAGGGGAAACCACGTCGGAAAATCTGGATGAACAAAGACGATGCATCATACAGATCAATTCCCTATGGACCCTGGGTTACGTGATCAGATGTAACAAGAGTTATGGGAGATTAGATAAAGAGCTGGCAGTTCTCACTATAATAGTTAAAAACTAGATCATGTAAAGGCAATTTGCTGAAAATTTCAGTCACATTGAACGACTCTGAACAAAGAATTTAGCGATTGAATGTTGGGCCTAGCCTCGGTCATCAGTACTAAAGTCGGTTCGATAAAAAAAAACATAGTCTCGATTATCCAATTCTTGATCTAATCATGAATGAGCGTAGAGCAGCAGATCGGATCCTAATCCAGTAAATATCACAGGCTAGCGATGACATCGGGAGTTGATTATGGTATGGATAGGTTAATTAATGTCTAATTAATAATTTAGATAACATTTCAGACCTAAAGAAAGACGTGCAATAGGCAGATTTAGATTTTGCAAAATGTATGTTAAACTATCTGCATCTTATTTCTTTCTAGGGGTGGGGGGGGGTCACGGTGGCTAAGTGGGTAAGACGCTGGCTCGATAGCCTGGAGGTCGGGTGTTCGATCCCTGCATTGGCCGAGAATGTTCATCCAGATTTTCCGGCGTGGTTCTCCCTTGTCAGTGATGCAGGACGTTCTGATGGTACGAAAAACTGAGGTCCCGTGTACACATTGGCGTGCACGTAAAATATCCTTTGACAGTTGGAATTCTATATAAAAGTAGGCCGTCGTGCCGCTGTCCGGGCAAAATTCCCCTCATAGCACACTGTATGGCGTATGCCCGTCTTCATTAGCCCAGTCGGAGCAGAACAGTAGGACGTTAAACCCCATTTCATTTCATTTCATTTCTTTCTAGCAGTGTTTTGTACAGCTATACAAAATAAACATTAGGACGACTCTCAGAATTAATGTTAGATTCTAAGAAGCACGAACAAACTAAAAAACAAAAATCTTTTAATCGCTTTATAATGCACTTTATGATACATATTTATATATTTTCTTGTCAACACAGATTACAGTTGGGGTGGAGTTGGCCTTCGCTCGTGATGTTTTCGGATTTATGGCAGGTCAACTCACAAACAGTAATTACGCGGTCACGTGTTACGTTCTCATAACGAGGCATTAAATTTCACACGAAAAAAAATGTATACGGTTTATACTTGATAAAAGTAAGCACGTGTTCTTTAGAAACAAACTGATAAATTATAATGAGCCCTGCTATAGAATGAAGCAATACCACAAGCCCTATCTTAACAAAAAGCCACAACAAAGAAAATAAGACTGCTAGCGGGGTTATCTTTTCTTTAAGAACTCTTCCCCAATCCTCGGTAAATAGGGATTACTGTAATACCACGCACGTGCAAGCTGACCTCCGACCCTCGAGGCAACTAGTAAATATTTGGCGATATACCGTATGTATAATGGATAATAGAAATGTAAAAAATGAAAAGTCTTGGCTAATTAGCGGTTATTTGAAAGACGTCGAGTGTTCAGGGTTATCTCCTTTGCGATAATACATTTCGTAACAAACAGTGAAATGTACAATTTACGGTGTTGTGTGAATTGGGTAAATATTACATAGATAACCCCGTGTCATTAATACAATAGCCTGTATGTTACCGTCAGGTGCAACATTCATCAATAAATACTACAATTTTTAAAATTTATAATATTTGATCTTGGTGCGAACCGGTACACTATAGAAGAAGAAGAAAGAAAGAATTTGAAAGAAACTCTATTGCATTAAAAAAAACTTACAAAGTTATGCGCATATATTTAATATATACAAAAAAAATTAAAAAATACACATAGAAAATTTGTTTCTTTTTAGCATGAAATTAACGTCAAAGCCGTTGTTCGTCATTTGCATTTTTCCTGCAATGTTCTCAAATAAATGTAAAAAAAAAAAAATGACAACGTCCGGCTTTGATTCAATCGAATAACAAAAAATCCCATCAGATTTAACCCTTTACTTTCAGGTACATGTAGAAGAAAATTAATGACGAATGCATGAGATCTTTGGAAATACTAAACTGTTGTTCATCTTTCACAATATTGCAGTATAAGGGATTCCAAATCCCCCAAATGATGACCAGCGAATCTAAGTGACGTGGGAGCCACGGTGGTTCAGCGGGTAAGACATTGGCTCGCTAACCTGAAGGTCGCGTTGCCCGCGAAAATGCATCGGGATTTTCATCCTCCTTGTCAGTGATGCAGGACAGAGGGCCTGACAAGGGACAATGTATAGTCGTTCGGATGGGAAGAAAAACAGATTTCCCGTGTATTGGCACGTAAAAGAATTCGAAATAAGAGTAGACCGAGGTCCCGTGTACATATTGGCGTGCACGTAAAAGACCCCTTGGCAGTTGGAATTCGATATAAGAGTAGGTCGTAGTGCCGCTGTCAGGGCAAAATTTCCCTCATATCGAGAGAGATCGAGAGAGAGAAAAGTGGAGTTTAAAGTCTACTCGAGATAAACTAGGTCATTTCGGGACTAACATATGGTTCAATTTCATTTCAATAATTCGCTTGCGCGGAGGGGTCTTTAGTAGTGGGGGAAAACCGGAGGACCCGGAGAAAACCCACGAAGGATGGACAGGCGACCCAACTCCTTGTCACGTATGTACGGGGAATCGAAACCACGCCAGTTGACTCAATGTGACAGACCTTATGATACAGCGCGTACACGCTAACCATTCCCCCCCACCCCCATAGCACACTGTATGGCGTATGCTCGTCTTCATTATCCCAGTCGGAGCAGAACAGTGGGACGTTAAAACCAATCTCATTTTAAGTGAGATTTAGGGGCAAGCACGTGGGCAAGCACATTCGAAGACATACTTGTATATTCCAGGCGATGTTTCATCAAGAAATATTAGAATATTTTATTTTATTCAACTGTTGATCGTGGTGTTAACCGGTACACAAGTTTTTAACATGATCAATTGGTAAACTTCTTGGCAACGTGTATATTTCAAACGATATATATTGGCTTTACAACAAAACTTTTTAGTGTATTGTATAGATCAATTTTAAGGCAGGGGAGTATGGCGTTGTCCAAGACAACCCGGTGTTTGCCAAAAAACATCTAGGTTTCTCCTTGTCAGTGATATAGGACAATGTCTAGTCATTCGGGTAGAACGAACAACCCAGGTCCACCCGTGCATCCTTGTTAGTGTGCACCTAAAAGAACTCTTGACCGTTAGAATTCCACGAAGAGTATAGGCTGAAACACAGCTGTCCGTGTAAAGTTTCCCTCTCATCACACTGTTGACGTATACCCGTCTTTATTAGCCTTATAGTTTGTTTTTTGTCGAGAAAGTAATATTATTATATACTAGACGAATGCCCGGCTTCGCTCGGGGGTCATAACCCCGAAACCGGAAGTGGTAGACTAACGTACGCCACCTGGCCTATGTTACTCTCCGGTCCGACCTCCCCTATACCCCAAATTTCAGACTCGGGGCAGACCTAGTGTAGCCGCCAACCCCGAACAGACAGACAAACGACAGTCACAAATATTAGTATAGATATAAAGGTTAAATGTAAAATGTTCTAGATGTAATTGATATCAACTGTAAA